CGTGAGCTTGGCTCGCCAGCTCCGTGTTGTGCTGACACTTACCTCTGTAATGATTCTTCACCCACAGAGACTAGTCACTCCAGTGTGGTATGGTCAGGGAGAGCCAAGGGCACACACATGCTGCATACTTCAGCATCCAGGCCTGTCTACACTAAATGTATTACTGTACGTTAGCCTAATTTACTTCTCAGTATTGGGTGTGCATCTACATGCTAAAAATGGCTAATTGCTAATTGCAAATGCAAGTATCAAATTTAGTCATGACTGGTTAATGCACAGTAATGCATATGTACGTGTGACCCAGCACTAGACTTAGTGCCACTTGGGGTCTGACCTAAGCCCAGCCCCAAGGCTGGCCACCTCTCCTTCTCCTGAGCTGGGCTGCTCTCTGACAGCCCCTAGATTCAGGGTGTAAAAGCCTGCAACCATTTTGTGCCTTGGGGCACACTGCACAGAAGCCTGCTGGACCTTGTGCGCTCCCTGGGACCAGTGCAGGCCTTCTGTGCCCCCCCGGACAGGCCACAGCCTGCCTCTGCCTGGCCTGTCCCCTTTCCACAGCTGCTGCTTGGCCCAGATTTTGGCACCCCAGACTCAGGCCACACCCCTGCAACTTTCACCAGCAGGTACAGCTTGCCAGAGCCTCAGCCCCACTCTGAACCCTTTGGTGACATCTCACCAAATGAGGGGCCCTCAGGCCTTCAGCACCATGCCCCATCCTTCACCCTGGCTGCTGTATCCACTGGCAACTTGGGGAGACCTGGCCAGTGGTTGCTTCACCATCAGTGCAACCCCAGACCCACCACGAAGAGTGACTGGAAATGTCACCACTGGCCAATGGCAGCACCAGCTCCTTCCCAGGGCCCTGGCCCTGGACAGATGCCAGCACAGATGGTCACCCATGCTAATGGGGAGGCCTACACCTAGCCATCAGCCTTGCCAGCCCCAGATACATGGTAAGTCCCACACTGGAGGGAGGGCCTTCACAGTTCCCACCCCTGTCCCTACCCCTGGGCCTGGCCTCAGCCTCTGCTCCCAGTCTGGCCTGCCTGCACTCCTTTGGCCCCAGGTCACATCCCCCCCTCCCCTACACAGCATGCAGAGAGGTGGGACACAGTTCAGAACTTTATTTAGCAGCCCATGTCCCTGCAGGTGGGCAAGCACAAGCCTCTCAAGGCTTGATGCAGCAAAAATATCCTCCTCCACAGTGGGCAGCAGAGAGGGTAGCACAGCCACAGGTAGCCCTCCAGGTGGTGGCAGAGGTTGTGGGACAGCCCAGGCTTGCCAGCTGTGCCATCATAGCTCAGGGTCCTGAACCAGGAGCATAGATGTACCCAGGGCACCAGAAGGGTCATCAGCAGCAGGGTGTAGTGGCTCAGGCACTCCTCTGCCTGTACAAACAGTTCATTGCACACCTCCTAGGGCAGACACAGCAGGGACATGCTCAAGGCACATTG